GGGAGAAGCAGGCTCCCTGCTCAGCAGGGAGCCCAATGCGGGGCTCGATCCCAGGACCCTGGGATCATGACCTGAGCCAAAGGCAGACGCTTAACCTCTGAACAACCGAGGGGCCCCATATATATATATATATATATATATATATATATATATATATAGATATATATATTTTTTTTTTTTTTTAAACAGAGCTAAATACAGCGGTTAATACTAACTTCCCACTTCTCTCATCAAGTGGGAAACTGCCAAGCCTGACGGTTCCTCTACATCACGGACCTATACAAGTTGACCAAACAGAAAATGAGACTAGGAAGGACACACACACAGTATGTCCCATCCAGCAATGTTATTCGGAACCCTTAAAAAGGAAACTTGTAATTAATCTGACCAGGTAATAGCCTCTAGCATTTTCTAGAATTTAATAGCAATTAGAAAATCAAGAACAAATAAATACTCCCATACACCAAAAACAACTTTTCCTTGAAGTCTTAAGCTTCTTGGCAATGTTTTGTTTCAGAAATCAGAATTCATAACTGTTAAAGCACATTCTGGAAATTAATTTTCTAACTTGTTTAGAAACACAATTTTTAGAACAAATACTCTTTGGAGATTCTTGCTTCCTGACTTTATAATTAGCGTGCTAATCCGAAGAGACCTCTGAGTTTATCAGAATTTACACAATGATAATTACCCTGGCAAATGAGAGACAAACAAGAGAACAGAAAACATGCATTCAAAATATTTTATTTATACTTACCATCAAACAGATTGGAAATTTAAAAATTCCTTCCACTGTGGGTTTTTTTTTTCCAGTGTTCCAAAATTCATTGTTTATGCACCACACCCAGTGCTCCATGCAATACGTGCCCTCCTTAATACCCAACACCAGACTCACCCAACTCCCATCCCCCTCCCCTCCAAAACCCAAAACCAACATTCCCAAACCCAGATTATTAAGAGAAGTTCCTAACTTTTATTTAGATAATAAAGAAACCTTTTGAGAACTTGATGAAAACCAGGAATTTATTCTTAAGAAACGTGCACACAGGGGGTGCCTGGGTGGCTCAGTGGGTTAAAGCCCCTGCCTTCAGCCTCAAGTCATGATCTCAGGGTCTTGGGATCAGCCCGCATCAGGCACTCTGCTCAGCAGGGAGCCTGCTTCCTCTTCTCTCTCTGCCTGCTTCTCTGCCTACTTGTGATCTGTCAAATAAATAAATAAAATCTTTAAAAAAAAAAAAAAAAGAAAGAAAGAAACATGGGCACACCCACAATTTTGCATATATTTGGGGGCAAGTTCAGACCCTTGAAATCCATCCAAGAGTCTGTGGTTAGGAAGCCTGCAGTCAGAGTCGCCAAGTATCTGTGCTACCTCCATGGGGTAGACCATGAGTAGACCCTAAGACGTCCCTGACACTGTGGGGCTCTCGGGGAAGTAAGGTCCACATACTCTCAAAGCCAAAATCTTCTCAACAGACTTCCCAAGTAACCCTAGGATAGCACAGAATTCTACTAGGGAAAGCCCTCAACACAGCTCAGAATGACAATGATCTTCCACAAATTTGCCAGGGGTAGATCACCTCGTGCACAGTGGGGTTACCCCTTACAATGCTTGCCATGTTGGGAGGTTATTATTGGGCTAGGAGCTCCGCTAGGCATTGCACACATGTTTATCAGAATATCCCGGCACTGGGACGTAGAAGTACCCTCACTTTAGAGGGATTTAAGTGCCTTTATTAAAGTCACGTGGTTCAGTTTACTCTGAGTCAGGGATTCCAAGGTCTATCTGCAGGTCTCTGAGGCCTTTGTATTCGAAGCAAAGTATCACTTTATACAACCCGAGGCTGCTATAAATCTAATCTAGCACCGCAGCTGTACACAGGGTCGGTGTTTTTGGCCCTGGGGCCAAGGGTCAGGAGAGCAGCATCTCGGATTTGCCAGCTGGCCGTGTTATCTTCTGGAGCAGGTGCTACACCATGGCCTTATCCCAGCAGACACATGAATGGGTGCATGCAAGGATCCATCTGAGTCCAGGCTGGCTTCTATGAAACTCATCAAGGTAACTTCCCTTTGGTCACTGTCTCAGCAGTAATAGTCCAGTGTCCCAGTCTCTCGTGCAAGCACGGAAAACAGGTGGAAACTGACCAGAGCACCATGCAATGAAAAATGATGTATTCTTCTCTAACAATACATGGAGGAAGGACTTAAAAAAAAAATTATGGGGCTTTAGGGTATTTTTTTTTTAACATTTACTAGGGACTATTTTAACAGAATGATGTAATAAACCCTTATTTACCATCACCTGGCTTTAGCAATTATCCACTAATGACCAATCTTGTTTCATCTGAATCACAACTCACTCCTCCCTACCTATAATTGAATTCTCAATTATGTGTTTAGATATCAAACAACTTTGTGCATGAATAAGGGGGATACTTGTCCATGTTGGGCAGTCGTTGTGGCTACAGTCCGTGTCATTGCTGGAGTCTTGGTGATAGGCATTCCACGAACTGTGGGTCTATGCAATGAATAATGCAATGTACAATGTATCATAAAACAGAAGCCACTCATGATGGTCAAATACCAAACATCTACCAACTCTACATATTTTAAAAATAACCTTATTTTTTATCCAGCTCTCACCTGCGGAAAACGTACCAATGTTTCCTGCATCCCACACAGGACTGCTTATAAAGCTTACGTAAAATGTTACCTATAAAAACCCCCATGCAGGCAAAAGGAATTTTTACTTATCACCCTGAAATTATATGGCTTTTAAGATAAATAATTACATCCAGACGTCTCTCATCTCAGTGAACACTGTTGACCTACTTTCTTATTCTATCATTTGAGGTTCTGAAAGCTCACTTTATAGACCAGGTAATATCCTGGGAAATACTTTCTAAGAACTACAAAATATTCAGAATGGCAGTTCTGCAGCAGCTACACACGCCATCACTTATCTACTTGGTGCCCAGCTGCTCTTTGGGTCCTAAGCCCCGATGCTCCAGGTGTCTCCAGGACCCCAAGCCCCGTCCTTGCTATCTCAGCTGAATGAAACTGAGCCCAAATCAAACACAGCATTTCCTATTCACTGGGAGTTGCCATGGACACTTCTTATCAGGGCCATTATCACCGGAAGGATGGGCAGATCTGGTTCACGAAGAACTCTTAGTAAGTCCAACTTCTGCTTTAAATATGAACATTATCCATTCAAGCTTTCTGATGAGAAATAGATTCGCAGAGCCACATTTGGCTCCCTAATGTCACTAAGGCTCGGCTCGCTGAGGTCCGCTTCTCCAGAGAGGAGTGGTTTTTGTAATACTTCTGCAGGAAGTGAGAAAGGCCTTTCACAAGGTGCGAGATAATTCAGTGGGGACCGTCATGTACGTTGGATTTAACACACTCACTTTAAATGACTCGAGGAATTCTATGTAATATTTTAAAACGGAATAGACCCTGTTGGTCATTTGCTGTGTAATGCTTTCAATGTGTAGAAGAAAATGGAGCACTTAATCTGAGGTGTCTGGGCAGAAGTTTCATAATGAAACACCCCGACTAGACACGGACGCAGCCCCTTGGCAGAACCCATTCTGTTTCATAAGCTGAGGCCCACCGGACAGTAGAGCAAAACCTGAAGCAGAGGAGGGTTCAGGTGGTGGAACGAAAATATTTTCTGAAAACGAAAACAAAACATACACAAAGAAAACAAGCAGGATTTTCCCTTGGAGAATCTGCAAGGCGGTGGTGGGCCGTGTACCCAGGCAGGAGGAGTCCAGCACTCCGAACAACGGAAGTCCGAACCTTCAGTGCTGCCTTAGCCATTTTGCATTGGTGATGCGGAAGGCAGCCGCAAATTATAAAAGATTGGAGCAACAGGTTCTAAAAAATGCTGCATTTCACCATATAGTAAGACTTTTGCCTGAAAAGATCAGTCCAGTTTATTTTTTAAACCTTTGCAAAAAAGAGAAGCGGCAAGTTTAGAGAATAAACAAACTTTATTTTATAACAGTATTACAGAAAGCAAAATATCATTTAATACAACTTGAAGCTGCTATAAATCTAATCTGGCATCAGAACTATACATAGGGTCAAAAGCAAAGGAAAACATGTTCAATACCGTTAATAGGCCCCTATCAGGTCTCCGGTGTTGGCTGTAAGTGGTTTTGCTTCCTTACAACCACCAAAAACACCACCGCAGCCCCTGCTCCTCTCCCCAGTGTCCTCAAACCTGCGTGAATCATCCAACTATATCTGAAAGAGATACACCTGCTCGATAACAAAAGGTCAGTTTTACAAGTACACAAGGAGGTTTAATACAAAGCAAGTGTGCTACACAAAGGGGTCAAATAATGGAAAGTCTTGAAATTTGGACATGTTAAGAAAGAAAGCACTAAGGTTTTAAGCTGCCTGAATTTTTAGTAGAAGGGAAGAAACGGTAGTTTCTCTTTTTCCTCCCTCCGGGTTCTGGAATGCTGCCGAAGAGCATGTGTCTGAGAAGCGTTGGCACTGTGGCACGACAGGGTCTTGAAACACAGTGCGTGGTCAGTGAGCTTCTTTGTAATTGTCCAGTCGGGAGCATCTCTGACTTTCAGGGGAAAGTCAGAGGACTGGAAAGTCAAAAAGGGTTCAATATAAAAAACAGCCCCGATGAAATTCTCAAACATTAGAAAATTTTCAGGATGTAAGAAATGCTTTTAATCTGTATTAATATTTTCTCATACAGTATATTTACTGCAATCTGAAAACTCCGTAAATATTTATGGTAAGGATTCAGTGGGAAGGATCTGGAAGGCAGGAAAGCCACTATGGAAATTAGTCACAGAGTTTCCTTTCCGCACAACAGCACCTGTTCAAGTGAACAGCACCTTACCAGCATGGGGCTGGCTTTGTTCACTATCATTTGATCAAAATGAGTGATAAAATGCAGGTAGTTGTACACAAAGTAAACGGGAAATAAAAACAAAACTTCCTAATTAAAAAAAAAAAAAAGAAAGAAGAAGAAGAAGAAAGAATCAAGAATATTTAGAAGTGGTTATAAAACAAAATAATGTATTAAAATGCGAGGGAACAGTATAGACCAGAGCTGTTAAGGTAAGGTTTGGTTGTTGGCATTTTAATTCTTCAGGCTTCTGGTCCTTCTGGTCATTGTTACCAGTCGTAGTATAAATTCGCTGGAGTAGTGGTGTGGCATTAGGACTTGGGATGATCAAAATTCTTCAGGTTCACAAAGTTGAGCGTTGTTTAAAAAATGGAATTTCTAGGAGGAAGAAAAGAGAGAAAAGACTTAAATATTCCCAAGACAGAGGCTTGAAAAACAATGTAAGTAATGTGCCATCCAATTCCAAATCAAATGACCCACAGTTATCATTTGCCTCGTTCTTTTTTTAAAAATTTTTTAATTTATTTTCAGCGTAACAGTATTCGTTGTTTTTGCACCACACCCAGTGCTCCATGCAATCCGTGCCCTCTCTAATACCCACCACCTGGTTCCCCCAACTTCCCACCCCCCACCCCTTCAAAACCCTCAGATTGTTTTTCAGAGTCCACAGTCTCTCATGGTTCACCTCCCCTTTCAATTTCCCTCAGCTCCCTTCTCCTCTCCATCTCCCCATGTCCTCCATGTTATTTGTTATGCTCCACAAATAAGTGAAACCATATGATAATTGACTCTCTCTGCTTGACTTATTTCACTCAGCATAATCTCTTCCAGTCCCGTCCATGTTGCTACAAAAATTGGGTATTCATCCTTTCTGATGGAGGCATAATACTCCATAGTGTATATGGACCACATCTTCCTTATCCATTTGTCCATTGAAGGGCATCTTGGTTCTTTCCACAGTTTGGCGACCGTGGCCATTGCTGCTATAAACATTGGGGTAGAGATGGCCCTTCTTTTCACTACATCTGTATCTTTGGGGTAAATACCCAGTAGTGCAATTGCAGGGTCATAGGGAAGCTCTATTTTTAATTTCTTGAGGAATCTCCACACTGTTCTCCAAAGTGGCTGCACCAACTTGCATTCCCGCCAACAGTGTAAGAGGGTTCCCCTTTCTCCACATCCCCTCCAACACATGTTGTTTCCTGTCTTGCTAATTTTGGCCATTCTAACTGGTGTAAGGTGGTATCTCAATGTGGTTTTAATTTGAATCTCCCTGATGGCTAGCGATGATGAACATTTTTTCATGTGTCTGATAGCCATTTGTATGTCTTCATTGGAGAAGTGTCTGTTCATATCTTCTGCCCATTTTTTTTATATGATTGTCTGTTTTGTGTATGTTGAGTTTGAGATAGATTAACTTCATAAAATCTATCTATGAAAGACCCACAGCAAATATCATCCTCAATGGGAAAAAGCTTGCAGCCTTCCCGTTGAGATCAGGAACATGACAAGGATGCCCACTCTCACCACTCTTGTTCAACATAGTATTAGAAGTCCTAGCAACAGCAATCAGACAACAAAGAGAAATAAAAGGTATCCAAATTGGCAATGAAGAAGTCAAACTCTCTCTCTTCGCAGATGACATGATTCTTTATATGGAAAACCCAAAAGACTCCACCCCCAAACTACTAGAACTCATACAACAATTCAGCAACGTGGCAGGATACAAAGTCAATGTAGAGAAATCAGTGGCTTTCTTATACACTAACAATGAAAATACAGAAAGGGAAATTAGAGAATCGATTCCATTTACTACAGCACCAAGAACCATAAGATACCTGGGAATAAACCTAACCAAAGAGATAAAGGATCTGTACTCGAGGAACTACAGAACACTCATGAAAGAAATTGAAGAAGACACAAAAAGATGGAAGACCATTCCATGCTCTTGGATCGGAAGAATAAACATTGTTAAGATGTCTATACTGCCTAGAGCAATCTATACTTTTAATGCCATTCCGATCAAAATTCCACTGGTATTTTTCAAAAAGAGTTGGAGCAAATAATCCTAAAATTTGTATGGAATCAGAAGAGACCCCGAATCGCTAAGGAAATACTGAAAAACAAAAATAAAACTGGTGGCATCACGTTACCTGATTTCAAGCTTTACTACAAAGCTGTGATCACCAAGACAGCATGGTACTGGCATAAAAATAGACATACAGACCAGTGGAACAAAGTAGAGAGCCCAGATATGGACCCTAACTCTATGGTCAAATAATCTTTGACAAAACAGGAAAAAATATACAGTGATAAAAAGACAGTCTCTTCAATAAATGGTGCTGGGAAAACTGGACAGCTATATGTAGAAGAATGAAACTCGACCATTCTCTTACACCATGCACAAAAATAAACTCAAAATGGATGAAAGACCTCAATGTGAGACAGGAATCCATCAGAATCCTAGAGAAGAATATAGGCAGTAACCTCTTCGATATCAGCCACAGCAACTTCTTTCAAGATATGTCTCCAAAGGCAAAGGAAACAAAAGCGAAAATGAACTTTTGGGACTTCATCAAAATCAAAAGCTTCTGCACAGCAAAGAAAACAGTCAACAAAACAAAGAGGCAACCCACAGAATGGGAGAAGATATTTGCAAATGACAGTACAGACAAAAGGTTGATATCCAGGATCTATAAAGAACTCCTCAAACTCATTCTACTCTTCTATTTACTCTTCTAGTCAATAGCACGTTGACCAGAGGACAAACAGGAAAGTCTATGCCACCCCTGCAGGCCTTACACTATGTGGAGAACTGACAAGCACCAGAATCAAACTGGCAAATAGGAACATGCACACAGAATTAATTATAAAACAGAGGTAACTCATACATCAACAGTCCAAAACAGAGAAACCCATGTAGGCTTTAATGTTAGATTCAAGGAAGGAGGAAAAACAAAGTCCATTCTGACTTCTTTGAAATGAACAGAAAAGGGGCTGCAGGTGAGGAGAAGAGAATGGGGCAAGAGGTCAGGAAGTGAGACAGCGCAAGGTGTCAGTGGGGGTATGCAGAGTACGGGGGGCAGGGAGCAAGAATGAGAGAGGACAGGATGGTGAGGAAATGGGCATTATTGGAAAGAAGTAATAATAGGGTGAGGAATGGAAGGTTGGGTAAAAAATATTAGGTCTACTCTTTAATACCAGACTGAGGAGTACAAATGCGATCGAACAGACAAAAAAAGGACTGAAGTCAGAAAGAGCATTCAGACGAAAGACCAGCTGTCAGTTTACTGCAGTGATCCCAAGGTAGAGTGCAAGAGGCAGAAGACAGGTCAGAGAGCCAGGGGTTAGCGAGTCCACGTGGCACGTGATGAGCTCAGGAGAGGAGGAGGCGGGTTTTGAGGAAGGCTTGACATGGCCTGGTTTATGTTCTGAAAACATAAACTGCAGCTTCAGTCTGATGAAGAGGCTAAGGGTGGGAAGGAGAGAGACAAGAGGGCCATGTAAGATGGCTAGGTGATGAGGACTCAGACTTGAATGAAACCAGGGTGAAGGGTGGACGGGGAGGCACCCTGTAGGAGAACAATTGGAGGGTGGGGACGAGCAAGAAAATACCAGGGAGCACGATCAGGTTTGGAGTCTGGGACCTCAGGGCAGGCGTAAAATCCAGGTGAGGTCTTAGGACCAGGGATGTGGATTTGCAGGCTGGTGCAGAGGGCGAGTGAAACTCATAGGTGAACTAGTCTCTACAGGTGTAAGGAAAAAGGGGGGCATGAGCCCCGGGGGGAGCCCACAATCAGAGGGAGGGAGGGAGGGAGGAGAGAGAACCAAAATGGGAGTGGACAGGGAGGCAGACAAAAAAATACAGATGGTGCATCACCCCAGAGATAGAAAAGGGTTTTGAGAAGGTAATTTTTCACTTCTTAGTTGAAGTTTTGGCATATGGTAGGTGATGACAGAAGACAGTGGAGAGTGGTAATTAAGGTCCTTTCCAAGGGACACTGGCCCCAGAGTCAATTAGAATGCACATTCTTTTGGTTAGATAAAAAGTCTTTTCACAGCAAAACTCCCCACCACTGAGATTTATCATAGATATTATTTTAGCCTCTTCATTATATAGGACAGATTGATTAATCAAATTCATTGTCTCTCACCTGTTGCCTGCTTTAGGCTATTTGGTTACTCATTAGGACTTCTGCTTGATTCTAGGCAGGCTGTAGGGGCAGGCACAGGGCAGGGTGGGGATCAATGGAGAAAAGATAAAGTCGTCTCTTTTTAGGTTAATAATTATGAACAGAAACTTGGGAATGGTGATCAGGGATGGATAAAACTACTAATCAAATTGGATTTGGGAGTTAGCTGCGGCCTCAGTCACAGAATAGATCAGTTAAGATCTATTCTTGATCTTTGCGGGCTGGTTGCTGGGTTCTTGAACAGAGATGCCACTTATGCCCAGCTTCTATTATAGAAAAGGAACTTCTCAGGTTACCAGTGCCTGGAAACCCACAGAAAGAATGAGGTTAGGATCCTATTCTCCATTTCCTCTAGATTCCATGTCACATTATTTCACTGAATCTGTTTTCACCAAAAATAAAAAATTTCAATTTAGAAAAGAAAGCTAAAATTAAACTTGTTTCCAAGTCATTAGCAGACAAGTAAACAGAAATTAGGAGTGTGTAGGAACTGAATGAGAGATCTTGATTTCAAAGAGCTTCAACATTTATTGAAATATATGTGGAGAAAAAGACATAGTTACCCATGTAAACTCAAATGTCATTTACTTTCATTTATTCGCAATCAAACCACTAGAAAGAAAGAAACCAATTTCCTCCTCTGGTAATAAGTATTACAAATGACAACCTTAACACACTCTTAGAATTCCAAACAGTTTTCGGAGTGAAAGAAAATTACATTTATTGTAATTTTAATGTTAAGCGCATTTTTTCCCTCTCTCAAGTGCATTTTTTTCCTCGTTCTTTAAGAAGCAGTAAATCAAGTGTAACTCTGAGCTAATTAGATATTCAGCATTTCAGAACATCCCAATTCCTCATGTCCTGGATGAATAGGGAATAATTCATCGTAGGAAGTTTGTAATTGACCCATCCACCTCTATTCTGCTTTTTGTACTTAAACACATATAGAAATATATTCCTGCAAGTAGTAAACATCTAGGCTTTTGAGCTGGGAAGCAGAAAAGAAAAGAACCACCAATGCCATTGGTACACAAGCATCAGGCATTTACATTTTTTCTGCTCTGGCATGTATCTGTGAGAAAAATAAAAATCCCAAAACCTTCATATTTGTGGTTTTTTTTTTAAACAGATAATGATTTATCACCCATTCCAATCAAACTGAAAACTACACACCGATAGTGCAAA